AACAGTTATGTCCGTTGGGAAACAGTTATGTCTGTTGGGGAACAGTTATGTCCAGCCAGGGGCTTCCGCCCCTTGGACCCTGCGGGGCGCTGCCCCGAACCCCGCCAGGGGCTTCGCCCCTTGGAACCCCAACGGGGCGCTGCCCCGCACCCCGCCAGGGGCTTCGCCCCTTGGAACCCCGTTTCAATTATTCGTATTCAATTATGTATTGGCTCGACGAGCGTGCACTCCGCACTTCCCTAACTCGTCTCCGAACTTAACGCATAATTGCATCGGCCTTTAGAAATCACATTACTACTAAAATACATTGGTGATACAAAATCGCCAACACAGTGCGCAGTGGAAAAAATGATTCCGAGAAACTGTATCTTGAAAGATCAATGCACACTATATAATACACATTTGCTATGATATGACCCATTTCAGGGAAGCGTGTCCATTTATTCTCTGGTGACGGTCCATTAATGCAAGGAACAAGATAGTCATAATTGCATCAAAATTTTCTTTTTCCCCATATAGTCGTTTGTATGATTTTGTATGGCCCCTCGACTCTTGGATAAGTTGATGGCGGACAAGTGTGTGATACTCTTCTCCTTTACTGAGCAAAGTAGAAATAGCTCGAAAACTGCAGTTACCGCCACCCTCAATATTCATGATTCGTTCAATGCATTTGTGCATAAAAATTGACATTTCATCAATGAATGAAATTTTTTGTGGAGGTAACGAAGGAGGTGGTTTTCTAATGCGAGATCCTTTGAAAATACTTTTTTGAGATTTTGGAGTTGGTGAATTCGGAAGAAAAAAATTGTCAACATGTTTAAAATATGAAGGAGACTGCATTGTTGAATTTTCACTCGGCTTAGGTTTGACCTTCTTAGAAAAACCTTTTGTTTTTACAGGTTGAGAGGGAGGTTTCAAGTCTGAGGTTTTCAGATAAGAAATCTTCCTCAATTGATCTTTGATGTGGAGTTTCTTATTATTATCAACTTTCAAAAATCTCTCTTGTATCATTTCCCATTCGATCAAGATAGAGATATTCAATTTACCGTATTTCATGACACCACCATCATCATCATCATCATCGAATCTGAGCCTTTTCCAGTGAGTGAAAACTTCACCCATTCATATCGAGTTATCAAGTTTTAACTTCTTAGATATAAGACAAGCACATATGAGACCATATGTTTTCACAAGTGTGCAACCATACTTTGAACTATCGAAACCTACATTATCAGCTTGTTTGGCTCCGTGAAAAATATAATTCATCCATGCCCGAGATATGTTGTCGACCAACTAAGAATGAATATTATTATCTTTGAATCTGTGTTCCAACATTGTAATGATACGACCAAATTATGTATGTATCACATTATGCTGATTTTTTATCGTTTAATTCAGAGTCTCAATCTATACACAAATAAACATTACTATTTCCTAACCAATTCTTCAGTGTAGTAAGGGAAGACTCAACTTGTTTTGTTGTTGTATTTCCATGGTGTGTAACCTGATCGGCCCAAGCATAGACAATCTTCTTATTCACCTGGTCCAAAATTATACTTTCAACATATTTTAATAAATCTTGACATTTCTCACACACCTTCTTGTAATGTATAACAACATCGTCATATAACTCTTTTGTAGAATAGTTATTATAACATTTCTTGCATCTATTATTTTTTTCACTATCATGTCCGCCTTGACCATTTTTCCATCTTCACTCTTTATCTGTTTCGTCCCTACCGCAGATTTAACCTAACTTCTCATATTCTTTGTTATGTGATACCTACAAAGTAATGCAGAAGAAGTAGGAAATACCTTTGCGGCCTAATTCATCAAAGTGGTATCACAATCGGTAATAATTACTTTCGGCATGTCTTCTTGGTCATTCAATATTGTCTGACACTCCTCTAAAGCCCAAGTAACATTCTCCTCCACTTCGCTCTCTAGAAATGCAAACCTGGCATAATAAGTCTTCTTAGTATAGGTAACACTAATAATTTCCAATAATGGAAGCTTGTACTTGTTGATCTTATATGTTGAATCATTGATGGACACAGTAGGAAATTTGTTGAATAACTTGATGGAATTAGAATGAGTCTAAAATATATCTCTAATGGTTACTCCATCCTCACACGTTCGGTACCTGGATACATAACTGTTACCATCTAAAAATTTCAAGAGGTGTTTCATTGCAGTTCTATCCCTCGTCAGCGCCTTGTTAGTTTGGTATCGAATATTGTAAGCTTTCATGATATTTGCAATATTTTTGTGTCTTTTACATTTCAAAGTTGTTTTTCAGTTGCACCAAATTCAATATCGTCTTAAATGTATTCCTTCTCTTTTGGCAAGACGTGACATACAATTGGACGATCGATAAACTTTTAACACAAATCATGTATATGTAAACCACATATCACATTAAATTTTCATTGCATACAGATAACCACAAAAATTAAAAGGACGCTCACATTTCCTTGAACCAATGTCATCTCGTTTAAAATTCCAGTGATGAGGTATATACTTCCCACTTCTTTAACATGCCATTGTCACAAATGCACCTCTTCTATCTGAATCAACCTTTCGATTACAACACCAAACCCCAGTTTGGATGCCTCTGTATGAATCCATTGAACCACGTGATCACAAAATTCAAACTCTTGTTCATTTTTAAATTGGTTGCCAACATCTACCTCCTTCACGACAACACATTTGGCATCCTGGGACATAATAGGTTTCAGGAAAATATCGGGGGTGTCTTATATCTAATGAAAACAATAACATAAAATACTCAAAAACAACTAAAATTGAAAACAAACAGTTGAAAAATGAAACATATAAGATCCGAAGATGCATTTCTGGAGAAATTCATACAAGATATGAAAATGTATTTTCAGAATAAATGTAATTTTTTTCATCTATAAAACAAGATTAATGTGAACAATGAAACTTGAAATAAATGAACTTTACCTTCTTTTCCTCCTTTTGATGTGATGAAACACAAGAATGAAATTTTTGAGTGAAATTCTTGATTGAGAACGAAAGAGTTTTTGTAAAGGATTTGAAAAAAAAAGGATATTGGGTCTGATAATGCAGGTGATTGTTTTATTAAAATCACGTTTGATATTTTCAAAAATGCATGAGATACAAAGTTGACAAATTTTTAAATTTCTACTTCAAAACTTCAGTAATACATTTCCGAAAACTTTACTATAATGCTCGATAAACAATATATTGAATTGATTTGCATAGAGATATACATCTCTGAAAATAAAGTTAATTTTAAAATAGAATGACACTCATTTCGTGTATCATTGAGTGATATAAATAATGTGTTTAGAGACACATTTCCAAAAACCAATGGACATTTTTTAAACTTTCATAAAATTATTTTCCATCTCATAAGATGAAATAAGAAAATTCCAAAATTAAAACACAAATAAACAGAAAAGTAGACACCACAAAAATGATATCCATAAAAAAAATCCATTTCTTCCACACATTAGTCCATATTAAAAATACTTCCTAAGGTCATCAAAACTAATATAATGATTAGTTCAGATAGATTTTTAATTGTTTTTATAAATATGTCATTATTGAACATTGTTAGATATCAAATACATTCATAATTAAATCATTTCTATACTTGGTCATGGAGTCCTTTGTGTTTTCAGTTTTGTGGTGGTGTTTGAAACTTGTAAGCGATAGGGCTCCATCCACTAGGCTAAATTAGTTCTTAATACTAGGCCATGGAGTTCTGTGGTGGTGTTTCAAAATTCAAACCTGTAAGAGATAGCGATTTATCCACTAGGTTTAGTCGACTCGGTACAAATACATATTTTAGAAGTTAGCATTCGTTTAGTCATGTCATGTCAAACATGTTTTTTAAGGAGGACAATTTGGAAAATGCACATATTTTATTAGTTATATAAAATAAGAGTTAAAAAATAGTGTACTAATAATATAAAATAATTTTACATTGTCATCCAATAAAAAACAAGTATTTTGTCATATTAATAATAAAAAAATTAAAATAAAAAGATGATTTAAAGTGACTTAATTGAATACTCCCTCCGGTCTCATTTATAAGAAAAAATTAACTTTTTAGATACATTAAATAAGTAATGTATTTGGACAATATATTGTCCAAATACATTACTTATTCAATGTATATAAAAAGTTAATTTTTCTTATAAATGAGACCGGAGGGAGTATATAGTTGTGATTGATTGATTGTGTAAAATTATATTACACTATCAGTGCATCAATCATTTTATCATAAAATAAACTAGATATAATTAAGTTTAATATTTTTTTGTTGAGATTTATTTTAATCTCTTTATTTTAATATATATATATATATATATATATATATATATATATATATATATATATATATATATATATATATATATATATATATATATCTCTTAACTCTTTAATACATATCACTTTAATTATTTCGTCTAATTAACAACGCATGACTCATAAATTGATTGCTAATTTTATTGCTAATGAGATAAAATAGAGTAATATAAGATATTTTAAAGAGTTAAGGAATCATTATGATTTTTTTAAGTTAAGAGACTAAAATGAACCTCAAGGTTAACATATCGGACAAAAAAAAAGTATTAAACATATAATTAACTAGTTTTTTTTACGAAGCACATGCTAATTTGTTTACTTATTGTTCTGGGCCGGTCAAAGGTCCAAAAAACTAAGACATAATCTGCCTCAAATCCACTCCATTTGACTTAAGATATAAAAGTTAGTTCACATGAAAAGCAAGATACACCTCGCACTACCGTAACGGAGATCAACACCACATGTTCAAGAGCGTTAGTTCATCAATTGCATTCAATTTTGATTCTAAAATGGAACAATGACGCCGTCTGTGGGAAGCAGCTTCTGATTCCTGTGATATTCCATTTCCAAATCAATTTCGATATGAAATCAGATGTTTACCTCAAGCAAAAAGAGTGGTAACGGTAAATTCGATAATCATGTATGAGATATCTACTCCATCTCCTGAATTAATCGCTCACCGATTATCGTTGATCGAGGAATTCCGCTATGATGCATCCTCTAACACATGCCATTGGCCATATTACTTTCTACTTACTACAAAAATTGATGGTCTCTGGAGCAGAGATCGATTAGAGTCAGGTTTTCTATATTGCGAAAAGATAAATAGAATTCTGAATTTCAATCTACCTCTGATTCTGGCAGTCACCATCACTGACAGAAATCTGACGATATTCCTTGTGGATGACAGAAGCTCGGGCAACATCCTCTACGTAGACACGTTGAAGTTGTTAGGCATCCAACAAGCATATTTGAATCCATATAACATAGGAGACCTATTAGCTTTCAACGAATCGATGACTCATCCTCAAGGAACAATAGATATGACATTGGCAATTGGATAAGGAACGCGAGAAATAAAGGTAATCCTCCATTTCCTTGTAGTCTCGTGCACAAGTGTTTTTGGAGGAGTCTTAGAAAGATCATTCTTGGCGAAGATAGACACAATAGCATCATTGGTTCACTTAAACATAACCTATCACAAGATAGAAGGAAGGTTGGCCGCTATTAGTGCCGACCTAGAGGAAACTAGGCGGATTATGGAGGCTATACGAGGAAGAAGACCACGAGAATGATGCTGCCTTCGACCTAGATGCGCATGGATAGAAAGGTATGCTTATTCTAGATGGTGATTTTGAATCCATACAACTAAAGGATAACTCTACGCGGTCGATGAAGATAGGAATCAAGCTTCCCCTAAGAGTGAGGTATGTAACACCCTTATAAATCCCAAGATTAATTCGTGAATAAATTAATTAATAAATCAACACAAAATACCAACGAGGGTGTCACATTATCATACAAACATCTTAAATAAACATCCTGCTCCGTAACACAGGTTTTCAGACAATTATAATAATTATTTCTTTAATAATATCTACATATAAATTTAGACTTCACAGCTGAATCTTAATCTCAATCATAACTTCATTCATTTTCTAAAAAACATCAAGACCTTTTGGTCTTATCTAAGGTTAACATCAAATTAAATTCAACAATTAACAAAAACTCATGAGATGTATTTTAAACAAATAACAACTTTAAAACTCAAGTGTTTCCGACCCCGATTCTACATATCAGAGCAATACCTTTTTTATTCAATTGAAACACACTAAATAACTCCAAATTCGCGACCACCTACGCATTACTCACGTGGAGGCAACATTCAAACAAAAAGGGTGATTAATCACAAATCATTATAAAAGATATGCATAATATATAGAGTAGTTAACATAATAATCATCAGGAAATCCATATATCGTCATACATCACATGTTATACTCATTGTTGATGCGTTAAAGCGGCAAGCAAAAAGTAAGTTATTAAGTTACCGGGTGATATAGGTTATATCGTATCGTGTCCACAGAGATTGGTTATTGAATCGTCGTTCGACAAATCTTTTGTTAATGAGTTTAGGGATAAATGAGTTAAAAAGAAAAGTATCAACAGAAAATAAATGTATATAAAGGTAAAAACTAAGGAAGAACTTATCAAGCCTGCATATAATCTACTCATCACAGACTTAAATCTACCGACCAGTTACATTCAACCTAACAATACTCATCAATGTCACTACGTATCACTCACAACCTAAGTCATTTCTAACCCCAAATCGAGAGACCGGTTGTATCACCAAGGATATGATCTCTCTACCTCCTCAACAACACAGAAGACAACTATATAATCGCAACGACAATCTCTCAGCACAACACAACCACACAGAGGCATTAAGCTTTGATACCCAAGAAGATGTAAGCTCTAAATCTATCTCCACGGTTAAGAAACTAACAGATAATCATCCTAGATAAGAATCTAAGCAGTATATGTCTATAACAACTCAAGTCCCTAGCGTAGAGCAAAAATCTAAGACAACCATCCATAAAGATTTATAAAGCAAGTTTAATATAACGCCATGGGTGACAAATATACATAAGTTCAAAGTAAAATACATATAAGACCCAACAAAAGAGAAATACATAGAGAGGGGAAGAGATAAACCATAAATCTTTCAGTTTGTCAGTGTCAGTCAATGAGAAATCCACCTCTAGCCATCCATAAGCAAAACCCTAGTGTTGTTATCTAAGTTAATCCACTACAAAAATGAGGTTGATGGAGTTGGGAGAACAAAAATCACCCCCAAAAAAATTAAACAAAATGAAAGATATAAAAAAAATTCGATTCGCACGTGTCACCCAGCGACACAACTCACGTCGCCCGACGACGAATTCTATACACTTGGCCCAGACTGCGCCACGTCCTCAGCAGGTCAAAGGTATCATCCATCGCCCGGCGACATAAAGCTTCACCCAATTTTTGTTTTTGTCACTCTTACCTCTTGGAACTTCTATTATGTTATCCTACTCTTGCCCTCGCTTACTTCACACAACATTACCATTACGCCCTTAACTTATTTGCACCAAATATCATCTCTATTTAATTATCAAAATAAATCTAAATAATTATAACTAATTATCTAAATTATAAATAATTGTTATTATATCCTTACTCTAACACTACCCTCCAACATACTATCATCACACCACATAATTCAACAAGAGTTCATATATTCACCAATAATTACAAATATTCACACCAAATCAATTAAATAAATAATTATAAATTTTGGGGGGTTACAAGGTCCATGTTAATAAAATGTTTGTAAGTGAACTTATACCTATTTTCTATCTCCCCACATGAGATACCCTACATTGAATCTGATGTGGCATGCCATCGGTTGGATGTAGACGCTTGTTCCTGTCACGTCTCACAATGGTGGAGAAGGTTATCCCTGAAAAAGGCTAAATCCACTATGAGCATTGTAAAAGGTCTGTTGGACACCAGGTTCATCTATGAGGAAAAGTATACATAATAGTTCTCCAATGTTGTCCTAGTCAAGAAATTTATGGAAGTGGATAATGTGTGTTGATTATACGAATCTCGATAGAGCTTTCCCAAAATATTCTTACTCGCTCCTAAACATTGACAAGCTTGTGGATGACTCAGCCGGTTACCAATTAATATCCTTCCTAGATGCCCACTCTAGTAGAATCAGATACTTATGTTCAAGCCCGACTAGATGAAGATAACCTTCATGATCGAGCAAGCCAACTACCACTAAAATTTCATGCCATTCAGATTAAAGAATTCATGCGCAACTTATCAAAGGATGATGAATAAGATCTTTCAAAAGGAGATAGAAGAGATGCAGGAAGTGCGCATAGACGACATGATTGTGAAATCTAGCCAGGAAAGACTACATGCTCAATATCTTTGTAGGGTGTTCAAAAAGGTTTGACAATATAATATAAGACTCAACCCGGAAAAGTTTACTTTTAGGGTGAAATCTGGAAAGTTTGGGTTTCTATTTAACTGAGCAAGGTATTAAAGTAAACCCCGACCAGTGTGAGGCAATGATCCGAATAAGCGCATCAACATCGAAGAAGGAAGTTCAAAAGTTAAACGACATGTTAACAACATTGAACAAATTCATTTCAAAATCCTCCCAACATGCATTGCATGTCCACACCTTTATTGAAGTTATTAGGAAAAACATAAGCTAACTACACCCTCCTAAAGGTGCATGAAAGGATAGTCGGGAAACATCTTGGTGCTAGAGCGATAAGCAAAAAATTCTAAAATCCAGGTGTAACACGGTGGGAGAACTGACTTGGGTGTTTTGTGTTTGATCGCAATTCTTGTGGATAGCAAGAGTCACCACCAAATTTTCTTTTATCCAATAAGGAAAGGTTGAAAAGAATAGGAAAGACCTTTCGAGATTATTTCTTGAGTTAGGGGGGTAGGTTATAAAAAGAGAAGGTGTTAGCACCCTTTTCATCCGTAATTATCTATGGGCTCTAAGTTGCTTTCTAGATCACTTACTTTTGTTTGAAAATATACTTGTGGCGTGGGTTTTGAATGTATTGTTTTTGAACGCGTACAAAGTGTTGTTTTTAAAAATAGTTCAATGAGGTGTTTGTGGAATGTGTTTTTGAAAGTGATTTTGAAAAGTGTCTTTGTAATGGTTCTCGTTTCTATAAGAACGTATACAAAGTATTTTGTATTTTGAAAATGTTTCAAAATGAAAGTGTGGGTGTATAAAATATTTTTGTTGTGAGCAAGCGAGCGACTATGAGAATCCTACCTGTCTATGTTCTTTTCCTTCTCCTTTAGATGTGGCTATCTTACCATTGATTGATAAGAAGCCCCATCGTTGGATGTGAAGGGACGTGCGTGGGTCAATTGTATAGTCATAGAAGGCAACCAATGGGACATTTTAGCAATTTTAACTTAGGGTCTAGATCATTTACCAAAGGCAACATCGAGGGACATCGAGAGACTACGATCTTTTACCAAGGGTCTTTTCTAAAACGCCCATATTCGAGGGACATGACTTTTTTCCGAGGCAACAAAGTGAGATTACCCTAGAGGTGCATGTGTGAATGGTGTGTTTGATTGCATGCATTTAGTCTTTGATTAGGGTGGTCTACTTGTTGGTTTTATCTTGCCATACACCCTAATTACTAACATTTATGAAAGCAATAAAAATGCGGAAAATAAAGGTCCTACTCTATTACATGCTTTTTTAGGGATGGGGTATACAAGTGTACAAATGGGGGTTGCAAAAAAATAAAATTCCTAATTATTGCAACCAAATTGAATGAAAATAAAAGCAAAAGGTCAAAAGAAAATCAAAATTTATGTTATTTGGTCTGACACGGGCCGTGTCCTATGATACGGGCACCCGTGTCAACTTCCTGTAATGGTCCATGTGTGTTTTTTCCCTTTCTGTACCAGCTAAGCTGACACAGGCAGTATCATGTGACACGGGCACCCGTGTCAGCCCCTGACCTGCATTTTTATTAGCGTATAGTTCCAGTATGTCTGATGTAACACCCTAATTCTACCCAGCAATTATATATATAAATCAGAGTTATAAAATTCATGCAACTGAATCAGGATGCCACAAATTCAACTTTAAAAACACATTGCATTCAACATGGATACATAACACTTTAAGACTTCGGATGAAGCATCAACATAATAATTTAATCTCTTGATTCAACAACTTAAACATCTACGCAGCAGAATTCATAATAACATCTTCGTCCAACAATTACAATAACTTCAAAATAATGCATACTTAGCAACAAACAAATAAGAGTTCAACAACTGAAATAATCAATAATTAAAAGCAACAAGCATTTATCCCCCCGAGTGTTACGTATCAGAGAAATGACACCGACTCGAACTACCGAAAGTATACTGCCTTCACTCTCGATTACCTGCACGTTACCAACGTAAGAGTAACATTCAAATAGAAGGGGTGAGATATCTAACAACATAA